AAAACAAGGTCTGCAGACATCATGATGGGCCTAACGGTTAAAAATGACCAGTCTACACATTTTATTTGTTTTTATTTTATTTGTCAATACCGTACACTCCGTCTGCTGTCCTCAACGTCTGAAACGTTACTGCCGGGAGATCAAGACGCACCAGACGTCCTGTTGTATTGGAGAATGTTTCTGAAAACTAATGTGTGGAACTAAAGGAAATGTATCTCTGGTAGAACATTTTGCATTAGAAACTATAACGGCGTCACGTGAATTTTATCTTTTGTTCTTGGGTAAATGTAGCTCAATGACACGACATGCTTCCATAGTATCCATAATACTAGTAATTCCATAGCATCAGAATCAAATTTTGGTTCTTTTGCTCGAGAAAAAAATGATATATGGGATATGGTTGATATATTGATTGATGTATTGGTAGACGTGGATTTAAATCGGCAATTTAAATTGCTTTGTATTTAATTAGAATATATATATATATATATATCCGTGTATTAAAAAAAAATTAGGACAGTCCAACGTAAATTCCAATACTGGCGATTTACTAATAAATCCAGATCGTACCATTTGAAAATCCTAGATATTTTTGATTAAATCGCAAAACCCTCAACGTTGGTTATTTATTGGATTTTGCGGCACTTTCCACACTGTGGCAGTGGACTGACTTGATGAGTTATTTACGAGATCCGGCGTTTTGGACTCAAATGATAACAATTTTACGAATAATTTTCATTTTGTCACGTTTTTGTAATATATCGTTGTTCGGTGCCATGGTACTATGAGCGGTTTCTTTTCAATACTTTGTGTTCGTATCGCGGTCATATGAATGTTTCAAGTTTGTGTCCCAGTTATTCTTCGTGAAACTATGCACACCATTAGAAATGTACCTTAGATTTACAGAGTAAAGAGAAAAAGAGTTACATGTATTACACAACAAAAATGCCATTAAGGTGCTTGTTTTAGAGTAACTTTATTTTGAAAAAAACTCGGCTGGGGCTTAGTACTTGGCGTAACAAAGGTATTCTTTCATTTTATCAATATTTACAAATTCCAATGGCTGTTGTGAACGGTAAGATTTGAAAACGTTCCAATGTTATTCAATCGGCCAATAGTTTCAGTTTGAACTGACAAATTTATAAATATTTATAAAAAAAAAAGAAAGGAATCATTTGTTGCTCCAAGAGTAGAAACAATCTAAATACCAATCATCACCCCTTCATTCAAAATTAGTGGATCAAGAGCTGAACACTGTATACGCCCTAATTAATATAAATTGAACTAATAATGATATCACAATACTATTTCTAGATTGGTCAATTTGAATTCTACATGTAACGTTAATTTTGATTTTTTTTTTAAAATGCATATTTATAAAAACGTGTATAACGACTCCAGCTTTCTGACCTTCACTGCCGAGTGTAATCTCGATCGTCTTCATATACTAGTAATTTACGCCGGAAAGTATGTTCTCGAGCGTTATTAGTTGGCCGCTACTACGCAAGATTCCTCATTTTCCTAATTGTATTAAAGTATGCTAAAAATATAGTAATACAAATCACACAAGTAAAGTTGCAACAAGTTGAATCTTAGTAACTTACGTATCAGCTACAGAGACAAACAAGCGATTACGTCATTACATGTGACTATTTCTTGATTTTTTACAATTTTTTTTTTTTTTTTAAATTCATGCTCCACGTTCCGGCGAATCATCAAATACATTCCGTAAATATTGTGTTTATTCGTATCAAATATGTAATATTATATTATACCAGTATATTGATGATGTTAATTCATTGATTTGATTGGTCCAAACACAAAATTTGCATATGCAATCCTGCGGCTCTTGCATATATGTCGTGAATTGTGCAATATCTCGTGGTATACCCGCCTTCAGCAGGGGTTATTGCTTAAATATTATAATGATCACGTTATAATGATCAATTGAGCGAGTCGGAGGGCGGACGTTTCGCTCTAGAAAATTTACGAAAGATCTCAGTGAGAAACTGTTAATTACTCTATGTCTTAAAATTTAACTGTTACTACTTACTTCATCTTGAATTTTCAAGGTGCATGTTCCGGACAAAAGCACTCCAGAGAGGAATGTCCGAACGGAACAACACCGTGCAGGCGGACGATGTACTTACCTTTGTAAAACTCATTAATATGGGTGTAATAACATCTTATGCTTTATTTGAAGAGCGTGCTGCTGATAACTACTATTACCCAACTCAATTACAAAGCGATCACTAAATAAAAATGATGACAATGAACGACGACGTATCCTTCGGCGTAATTTCATTTGTCTGTACATTGTTTTCGGTTGTATTTGTATTTGCAAGTAAGCATGCCTTGGCTTTGGGTGCCGTTGAGTGCTTTATTTCTGCCCGGTCGACTCTGTCTGTAGTTTTGAACTCACACCCTACACTCTCTATTGAATTGTTTTAGCCTTATTTTAGAGGGCAAGTTTTCCATTCCCTTTTTTTACTCTCTTCGAATTAAATTAGTTATAATTACGATTATGTGTGCAACATTTCCAGTCATGATGCGTGTTGCTTAACTTTTATTCCACAACCTATTCTTGCCAATGTTTACTTGTTTGTGATGATTTAAGCGATCTTTACTAACTCGATAAGTGAATACTGACAAGGTACAAGTACATTTATATATTCGGCAATACTAAGATAATACACATGTACCCAAGGATATCAACACAGAAAAACAAAAGGAAACATTGTTATATAGAGGGCGCTAAATTTCAACCTATTTTTTTTTTTTTTTTTACATATTTACATGATTAATTCTGAACATTGCAATTTTCAAGTGTACCTTTGCTGATTTGATACAGTAACAATCGGCACATATGCACATTATTATTATTATTATTATTATTATTATTATTATTATTAGTGTTCCGTCATTTTGTGTGATTTCTACATATGTTTACAATAACACATACTATCCAATCAAAATGCATCTTCGCTATCCAAGGTTCGAGTTTTCGACCATCGTCTTATTACGACGGAGAAGTATTGTGTACATCGAGCTTGCGAAACGGTGTGATTCGGGCGATGATTAACATGTAGCATCAATCAAAGAAATGAAAGCTAAGAAAAGATGTATCCTCGGGGGCGGAGCTACGTCACAGACGTTCCACGTTGCTAAGACGCGCACCACTGTACCATGCATTTCTATGGGCTCTGTGCGCGCTGCTGTGGAACGCCGGTCGAGCCGGTGAAAATTCGAAAAAAACAACACAAACTCAACTTTGAAGTAATCCATAACAATCAAATTTATATATGTTACACACGTAGGGCTAATCGGGTTGCACTGTTCAGAGGAGTCACAACAGTCATCCCAAAGTACCGTTTTCTGCGAGTTTTGGGCCTTTGTTTTCACCGCCGCGGGTTGCCAGGCGGTGAAAATGCCCGGATGTCCGCCCCCCCGAGGATACCTTTCCCTAAATCGCGCCCTCTGTCGGCAAATACCCAAGGCAGTTCAAAGCGCCGATATCGTTTTGATCTGTAGGGATCCATCAATACATTGTCCTATATTACCAGGCAACGACACAATCAATGCTCTTGAATGACAATGCTTCCATCCAATACATAATTTTTACGTCAAAATGCTCCTCACTAAAGGGCGCAACTCCCAGGAACGATACATTGGAAGCATGAAATAGGGTGTATTTAAAACGATCCGAGTAAACAAGCTTGTCAGGTAACATAGCTGTCCTTTGATATGTAAATGTGAAAGCAATGTGGTTCTGTTGAATACCAAATCTGATTAAAAATGAAATCATAGTTTGTTTGTTTTTTAAATAATTTATGTTTATTTCTAATATACATTTTCCTTTATTTTAATTATTATTCATTTGCTGGCAGTTTTTTTAAGAGTTTTGGTAATCGTAAATACCAACAAGGCGATAGTTAACAAAAAAAATAGTAAAAGTAAAATAAATATATAAAATACATCAGATTGATGAATACTGTAAACACATTAATTACTGTCTGGTTTTTAATTTCACTGAGGTTTTACAGTAATTAAGGTGTCTGTGGAGCACACAGTACAGTTAAAGGTTTTACAGTAATTAAGGTGTCTGTGGAGCACACAGTACAGTTAAAGGTTTTACAGTAATTAAGGTGTCTGTGGAGCACACAGTACAGTTAAAGGTTTTACAGTAATTAAGGTGTCTGTGGAGCACACAGTACAGTTAAAGGTTTTACAGTAATTAAGGTGTCTGTGGAGCACACAGTACAGTTAAAGTTTGGGCTCAAATCACACTGCATTTACTCACATGCAAACAAAGTTATACTTAGGGAATGGGGGAAATACACAAAAACACGGTATAATTTTGCTAGATAATTTATTTTGTACAATCTCATTCTTACAAATGTACACTAACTCTGTGCTTTGACATTGTAAGACAGTAAAATTGGGATGTGAATCAATTCAACAGATGGCGAGCATCAACACACAACTCTGAGAATAAAGGCAAGAGCATAATTAAACAGAGCTGAATAACACGTACATCGTCAAGCAATATATAGTATAGTATATTATATATAGCAAGATTTCATTACATTGCTTTAAGCTAGTATAAAACTTGTATGTTTTCAAAAAAAAAAATCAGTCTACCTCGATAATAAAGTTCATCATGGATAGTATCAAGTATCGATTGTTCCAAGAATCTTTTTTGATAACTGTTTAATCAGAGTACAAATGCATTGCATTGCATTGCATTGGTTAATTTTTAATTAAACATGTTATATAATGGGAACACGTGGTGCATTTTGTGGACAAACAAAGTTCTCATATGTATAGACAGTGATGCAAAAACACATTACAGAAGTTGTACTGCTCCTGATATTTTTTCTTTCTTGGTAAATACACGTTCTACATGCGTTGAATATACCCCCCCCCCCCCCCCGAAATACAGAATGGTTAGTTACACCTGCAAAGATACTGAAACTTAAAATGAGAAGAGCTGATGTCTTGAAAGCCAAATTTTCCATCAATATAAAAGAAAAAAACAAGTGATGGATTCATACTTATCCTCCAATCAAAAATTGTCTGACGTTGTATCTAATTCCCTAAGATGTAAGCAAAATAAACATATGAATACAACACATTTTCCATCTACTGTATTTCTTTGGTACAATTTCACCAAATTATACAGTTGTTTTAGTTTAGCTTTAGCAAAACAGACAGGACACATCGTAAGTGATGTAATGCTGGTAAAGAGAAATCTAAAATAGAAACCACTAATAATACTATACAGACAAGGATTGGCATGACTACGTTTTTTTTATACATGTAGCAATGTAATGAATGTTGTGTATTAAATTAATATTCTTGATAACAATAATTCTGAAGTAATCAAAATATGTGACAAAAAAACACTCAAAGCAAAAATGCATCTGTTAAAGATTTGTTTACATTTTAGATACATTGAACAGAAAGTTAAAGCTTCGCTTGTAAAAGTGCAGATAATGACAAAAAAAAAGTGATGCAAAACAGTGATAAAACAGCAACTGAAGAGATGGTTTTAAAACTTAATAGTTAAGGAAACGCAACTTTATTATTTTTTATTGAACTTTCTCACCTTCTCTTAAATGAAAGTATAAAATAATTGTATACCGACAAGGATTGTAAGCTGCTGATTCACTTGTAATTTTTCTGAACATTGTACATTCAATGTCAAAGATTTTCGCAAAACAAATTTAACATTTCTAGACAACCATTCCCCTTCCCTCTCCATTCCACATGTGAACTGTAAAGTAATTATGTTCTTTGGAAACAATTTGAGATCGTCCGTAAGCATGACTTCTGTATACGTTTAATCACCGCTTATTTCAAGGTTTACTTAGGTGTTTTCACATTGTCAAAGTTCGCTAAAAATGAAAGATACTTTATGTAGGATCACACACTCTCCCTTCCCCTGTACACGAAAGAAGGATATTTTTGATGGAGTGACAAAGCAAAGAACACATCAATGTTTTTCTATTACAAAACTTAAAATTTAATGTTTGCCACCTACATAAAATAGTCCTTTGACACTTTATTTTGGCGAACTTTTGACAATTTGAGAACACGCCTCAAACATCTACGCTTTAAAATATAAAAGCTTCAATATCATATATATATATATATAATAATTATGTGAATTCAAACAAAAATAAAGATGTATTTAGCAATTGTTTTAGGAGACAGTGTAGTCCCTACAAAAAAAAAGTTATTTAAACAAGAAAAAAAAAATCAACAAAATTGCACTTAAAAATTAGTAAGCAAAATACTACAATCTGAATAATAAGCTCAGTATTATATACTCAAATTTTAAGTTTTTTTACCAGATGTGTTCTGTGATAGAAGTTTTTCAGCCACTCTTGTAAGGTAACAAACTTTACTCCAATATCGAGATTTTAATTAAGAAATCTCATACACAGGGTCAGAAACATTTCATAATCCTATCACTGGGGGCGCTGTATACAAAACAAACTTCAACAGTATAAAGTGGAATGTATAGTTCATTTCATGTACAATTAGCAAACTTAAACCGCTGATGTTGGCATATTACCACTGATCTGTAGTACATGCGAGTTGGCGAGTGAGACTGGTGATGAACATTTTAAGAAGATCTTTAAGATAACAGAGTATTACACAACTTAAAATCTCACTTTTCTATGGCATATTTGCTCCTGAAGATTTCAAGGAATTTAAGTTCTTAGAAAATTTATCAAAGACTTCCATTGATAATTACATCAATTTGGGCAAAAAGTGCAAGTGACAATAAGTGAGGCAACAAACTCTAACAAGTTGGCAAGATTAATTACAAAATCATTTTTTTAAATATTGAAATGTGGTTTTGACCACCATGTACATGCATTTATCTCCCTAGAGGTATATCTTTGATTAGCAAGATATACATGCCTTGGGCAAGCTTGGCAGGGAAGATCAAAACAATTAAACTCAATCCCCTCCAATCTGACTACACAAATTGTTGGCACAATAAAAAAAAATTAACGTTTTTTCCTTAATATAAAATTGTGGTTTGCGGAAGAACAGACGAGTCGGTGGAAAATACACTACACTACAATTTGAATTAGCCCTAGTGTTTTGAGCACCCATAATGATCAAGAAAATACAATAGAATGCATTTAGTGTGGCTATCCTACATACAGATTGGCATTCGAATTCCTTTTATTAGTTTCAGGACACTTTAAGACCTTAACCTGACTTTTTGGCAAATAAATACAAGCAGTATCCCAGGGACGGTTTTGCCTTTAAGAAGTCAGAGATTTCAACCCACCCTCAAACATCTCATAATATATCATATCAGTTCATATTTCAGTGTCTTCTTGTACTAAACTATAAAACAGCTCCCACTACAACTTGTTATGCAACTTTCTGTTATCTAAATACACTCAATGGTGCAAGTTGTTAATTAAAGCCAGTTATGATACTTTGACCAAGCAAGCTTAGGATAAGATGTGCAAGATTCCCCGATCAGAAAATTGCTCACATCAAATGGCTTTCAATTTAACAGCAACTTACTTGCGAAAACACAATGGTCGATACAATTCAAAAGCAATATTTATAACACTAGTCCATTTGATTCAGTCCATAGTTGTCTTTCTCTATTCTGTATGAAGAGAAGACTGCTTTGCTGACATGGGTGGTCTTGTACAGCTCACCACTGTCTATGAATTTGGAGAGGTTGGTTTCACAAATTTATCTGGACTTGTCACAACTCTTGCTCTCTGTAAAAGAGGAATAATGCAGTTTATTTATTA